CCTGTCACAAAATTCGACCGAACGTGATGACATCTAATATGAGACTGCCTTGATTCCACTGATCCCGAATGAATGACTAATAAGTTGAATCATGCTGCTAACCGATTAATTTCCGAACAAATGATTCATCTATGACCGAGTCTATGACTAATGATGATTGTATAATCTTCACTATCACGTACTGTATAATCTTCACTATCACGTATTGTATAGAATAGAACACCAGTAACTCTTTATAGCTCGGCTATCGTATATTAACTGACTCACATTTCTGTCTCCACACATCATATCGCTATGTTATATAAACATCCGAATCATAGCCTGAATCATCTATATACTACAATGATAATGAAATTATACGGGGGGAAAATATATACAGGGTTTTTGGTTCACCGACGAATATCTGGGTGGTATGTGATGTGATTCTGAAAATATTTAAACATATTTTCTGTTATACAAAGTGTTACATTCTTAAAGAAAGCATCGATGTAATAAATACGAAGTTGTATGTTACATAAACAAGTTTTCAAAATTCTGACAAGCCAAAAAAATTTCATCACATTTGTATCCCATTGTTCAATATCTATGAAAATCGTATCCAACTCTTGAAAAAAAAAGAAATTACAATCAGATGAAATGTTCGACCAAACGGAGATATCTCAAAGTTCGTAACACTTTGTATAATATTTTATATGGTTGAATATATTCGAAATGTTCTTACCTATCAGTCCCTTTCAGATATACGTCGGTGAACCAAACACCCTGTATAGTATACGAAATACCAGATGAAGAAGTGAACACGGAGAGTGGTGGATTTTTTTTAGAAAATCTTCCAAGATATTATGAAAGACTTCACCACAGGCTGAAAATATATCTTTTACAAAAATCTCTCGTGATATGAAAGAATTCAACCGGATAGTATGTAGTGCAGAAATCGAACGCTTCTCACATACCAGTCGAGAAACAATTCACTATAGTGACATACAGGCAAACAATTTTTGTTTAAAAATATATCACATTTGACAATATACAGGGTGGGGCAGTGGAAACGAAACAGCGAATCTTTAGGTCGAACGAATCGGATTATACAGGGTGGGGCATTAGTGCGTCGGAGCTCGATTGCTCGAGTTCTATGATAGCTAGAAACCTGATTCAAAAACGAATGTGAATGAGATAACAAGGTCCATAACTAGGAATTATTGCCGCATATACAGGGCGCACCGAAAATGATCTAGAGGGTCGGGATCAATTTTTTTAATTGGAATGCCCAGTATATTTGCATATTTTTTGAAGCATCCCTGTGATCTTCATCCACTTCTATAATATCGTTGACTATATCTCTTTCGTATCAAAGTTATGAATTTGTTGGTCGAAATAATGTCATCTGCAGATGCCTACCGAAAATATCACTGTTGTCACAATTATAAACTTTAAGAAAAAATAATCTCAATATCATTTATTGAAAAGATAAGTGACATTTCTGAAGAAGTTTCAGGCTCTCAAATGATACAGGGTGGCTGAAAATAATTTTTCAATTCGGAACTTGATTTTTCTCCAGTTTTTCAAATGGAACACCCCATATATTATTTGACCATTTGATGTGAAATCGAAACACGAACATATTTATTCGAATATTCATATCTATATTCGCAACCATTTTTGAATTTTCGAACTTTGAAAATTTTAGGTTGGTCATTTTCATCGATACACATTTCAATCTGTTATTGAAACATCAAAAGTTCAATCAACAATTTAGTAATCCAATTTTTTATTGAAAGAATCGATTTCAGAACCAAAGCAGACATGAATAGGTCATAATTATGCTAAATATTTACAAAGTAGAGACGGAAAAAATTCCATTTCTCAATTATTCTGGTTTTGCTTTCAATGTGCCATAAATTTATGGGATACTTGAGAAATGCAAATTTTGTCTCTTTTTACTTTGTGAATAACTAGCATATGAACTTTTTCTGTTTGCTTCGATTCTGGTATCGATTCTTTCTTTGAAAAAATTGGTTCACTAAATTAATAATTGGACTTTTGATGTTTTAATGACAGATAAGAATCCTGAATCGATTAAAATCGCCACCTATAATTTTCAATGTTCAATAATTCAAAAATGGTTATGAATATCGATATGGATGTTCAGATTAATATGTTTCGATTTGTCATCAAATGGTCACAAAATATATGGAGTGTTCCATTTGAAAAACTCGTGAAAAATCACTTCGAAAAGTTCCGAATTGAAAAATCATTTTCAGACACCCTGTATCATTTGAGGGCCTGAAACATCTTCAGAAATGTCACTCATCTTTTCAATAAATGATATTAAGATTATTTTTTCTTAAATTTCATAATTGTGTATATCTATCGTTCTCGAGATGTAAGAGGTAGGTATATTCACCGAGGTATTCACAGTGAAAAATCGAATATACAGGGTGGCATTGAAATAAGTGCAAATATTTCAAACACTGAGAAAGTTCGTCGTGTACTATCGAATGGCACTAATAATAATAATAATAATAATAATTATAATAGATGGTCTTTTTCATTTTCAACAAAATAATTACAATGATTGAAGAAACAAATTGAATAAAGTGAAAATGAAGGGCGAAGTTCAGCTCATATTCAGCGAAAATTCCACTGAATGAGTTGTTCTTCCACTTAACCCAAAACAATGTCTCCCAAGGTCTATTTAGGAATACTAACATATATATATATAGATGTGTATCTCGATTAATATATAAGGTACATACTATAATAATTAATTAAAAGAGAAAATTTGAAAATAAAATGAAATCAGTTACAATTTCTCATTGATTCTCAAATGAGTATTTCTTCAGTTTTACTCTGAATAGATTGAGCTTATCTTTTTTGATATCATGGGGGATGAAATTGTAGACTCTAGTGATTTGACAGCTGAATGAACGTGTAAACTTTTGTGTTCTGAAGATAGGTGGTGTGAAAGTATACCGTTGAATCTGATATTCAAGTTGTGGGCATACGTTCTGTGAATAACCTTTCGATTAAGATAAGATGGCAGTTTTTAAGAATTCCGATTGCCATATTTGAGTTTTAAGGATGAATATATTCACACCCTATATCTTTGTTATCATTCCCGCTAGACCCCAAGTGTAATAGATCGATGAAATCAGCGTAGTATGAATCTAAAAATGGAATCGAAGATGTTGCTACTTTTCAATATAAGCGGCAACGTCGCAGTGTTGAGAATATTTTAGGTGGATAGCACAAACCAAGGAACCAAATTTTCAGTATAATCCTACGTTGCGTTTATGTCTAATGTGCCATCCACCGTGAATCAGCCTGTATAAGGATATACCTATGCGTTCGTGGATAAAATCATATATACAGGATGATTCAGGTTCTGAGGTACAAACGAGGAAAATGTTTTTTTTTTAAATGCAACTACACCTGACCGTGATTAGCTTTTTGTGTCTCGCAACCGGTTTAGTATGCCTTTATATTTTCAACGCATATCACTTTATTTCTTTTTGGAACACAGGCGGAGTTAGAGTAACGTTAATTAACTTTAAATGCATGAAGAACCGGGCAGGATTCTTTCATGTATCATTTTGTAACATCAAAAGATATTTCGGCGTCAAACAGTGAAATTTGTCATTTCCTGAAATGCCTATAGTCATTTCACGTATTGCCGGCAGACAGCGTCGTTATTCAACTCTAAATTTCGTACACCGTTGGCCTAATAGTTTCAGGCATTCCCTGTAACGACGGAAGGAAGTTTCATTTAGGCCGAGTCAGGTTAGGTTGTTTAGAAACAGTATAATACTCTCTTTTGTTCTCACACGTAATTTCCGATGAATATTCTTGCTAGAGGAAGAAGGTTCATTTTGGCCAAGTTGAGTTAGATTTTGTTGAGTGAGTCCTTCTTTATGCTTATGCAGAAATGATATTTCCCTTCATCAACTATCTGGCAAACAGAGTAACGGTTAAAAATGGAAGTTACGCTGTTTGCCGCAATGCGTGAAATGACTAGGCATTTCAGGGAATGACGGATTTCACTGTTTGACTCCGACATAAACATAATGATACCCTCCAAAAGGCATATACTGCGGGAAATCACGTCTCAAAATATGTCACTACCTGCCGGTCTATTATTCATAGTGGTATTCTTCTTTCTAAAAGTAGTTAATATAAGAAATAAGTAGTTGGGGTCCATCTGCTTATCTGTGATGCATATGCTATCAAAATGATAATCCTGAGGTTTCAACACAACTGGAGAATGTTTAATACATTACCATTACCTTAATGAAATCCAGTCATACTGTGTATTTGTGCAGCACAAGAGATTATATTATAGTACCCTTATATATACAATACACCTATCTAATACATTTCATCTGATTGGACATTCAGCAGAAATAACACTCTGTTATCATTCAATGGAGGTCCATTGGTATTGCATTACATATTTATTGAAGTAGCTATTATGGTTATGGACCCTAGCATTTTCTTCTATATTCTTTTATTGTAACTGCATATAAATCCCCAATAAACACTTCATAGTTATCATTGAGGTTATCAAGTAGTACCTAGGGATATCATTTTTCAGATCCAAATATTGGATTTGACTGCTAAGTGAATTGAACAAATGTCTTGTTCTATATTGATATGGAAGTTGAAGAGTTAACAGCTTAGCTTCTAACTGGCAGACGAGATGTAAGATTTGGAGCAGGTAGGTATACCTACCTATGGGTGAGTATCCATATCCATATTTTTTTATCTATCTGTTGTATATGTATACTCGGCGCCTGTATCAGAAAATGTTCACAGTACCTAGGGATTATAAGATAATCAGCAAGAAGGTTCAGAGGGACGAAATCAAAAGATAAATCCTGTTAAATCAACAAATTTTTATTCTCAATCATTCATGTCTTCAAACAACACATCAAAAATCTGATAGGTAAGTTGGAAACTGATGGCAAAATTGTAGTTATAATACTTTATCTCCACATTAGCAATTGTGCATATCATGTTAATTGCTTCATTTATCTCTTGTGAGCTCCCAATGAGTCCATAATGCCCTAATTTTCACAATGAAAGTGGCCTTTGGTTCTTTTGCCAAGTTGTGGAATAAAATAAATTCCTTATTCAATCACCACTTAGTATATATCTACAACTTTACCAGTACTAAGCATAGATTTGACTATTCCCAGAAGTTATTTTGACATTATTTATTATGATTTCTAATTATTCACATACTTGTCTGGACGGTGATCAATATTCATAACCGAGTTCATAACAGTTAACTAGGAATCTTGGAAAAAAGTTCAACAGCTTATGGCTGAGAACCGTATATTCATTTCTTCAATAATAAGAAAACTGGTATCTTTGTACCTGTGAAATTTTTGTAAAAAATAAATAAATGGTAAAACGCTTTCTGTGCAAAAATTATGCCTCTGATGGCTAAAAACATTTCCACATAAAAATTTCAATAGTAATAAATAACTTATTTCTACATAACAAACACAGTAGGTACATACCTAGTAAAGGAACTTTATATAATATTATCTATCATAGCTTCTAATAATAAACTTTTCACGAGTTGATTTTCAGTTGATTGAAATATATGGTGAATTGACTGTTCTTGACTTATAATCTGATGGCTTTGCAAACATATGTTTCAATATGTTTCTGAAACAGCTCCAGACAACATATCAGACCATATTTTTGCCATGGAATTTGACTAGATGATTATCAAATGGAATGAGATTCATTCATGTTGCCCTATATTGAATAATAACCCTATAATGCAGTTCTTCTAACTCAGATATACTCTAAGCTATCAATATAAAATCAATTCAACAGATATGTGCTGTAGATGCTTAAAAATTAAGACACATGCATTTAGAAGTCTTGATAACATAACAATTGTTTATGTTGAGTGATGGAATGTTACTAATTCAACTGCAGTTACAAAAGTTGGTGAAGTTGATGATACCTAATGAATGAAAGGGTCTGAGACTTCCAAACACATCTGCCATACAAATTAGACACATATTTTTATTTCTTCTCAGAAGAGCCTAGACAGAATATATCAACTATAATATCAGTCTTATGCCTTACGAAATTACTTTGTCTTGAACTGCTATACAAGGAGAGTTGATCAAACAGCCTTGGAGTCGATCTTCGGCTTGCTTGAATTTACAACTTCAAGAAATACTGAATCGCTTCTATTACATTGGCTTCCAAGAGTTTACCTCAAAAACCATTGGAATAAATAGATGGTAAGTAGCGTCAAAACAGTTTGTCTTGTAGCTTGTGAGGAGGACATCATCCCACATTCTCTCCTTCCATACTCCGTACAGTGTAACTGGAATATAGAAACGTACATCAGTGTCAAGCATAAACAGGAAGTAAAACAAATACACTCAGTTCCAAAAAAGTGACGCACTTGATATTCGACCTATCTTGAAAAAAAAATAGTAGGCAGATTTTTTTTAAATTATTTTTTGGTAGGTAATGCATTTGAGAGGTGAAAATGTTTGCCTCCTTGATGGTGGTGGTATAACTCGAACCATGATGTATTCTCAATTTTTGACTCAACCTGTGTGTTAATTGAGTGATGGCATAGAAAGTGCTTGCACCCTATATGAAAGAGACTTCTTTTGCGAGCATTTTGTTTTTTTATTCATTGATTCATCTCTAAAATTTTCCGAATTACAGCTTTTTTTGCTGAATCCTTTACCGTGTATTGCCTCCTCTAGCAACTCTAAGAACTTCTAATCTACGAGGCATACTGGAAATAAAGTTGCTTATCGTTTCCATTGGTATACGATCCTATTCTTCCACTAATGCATCTGCCATTTCTGCGAGACTTTCCGGAAACATCTCGCGAGAACGTACCCTTCTCCCTAATTCATCCCACAAATGTTCTATAGGATTCATATCGGAGCTTCTCGCAGGCCATTGTAATGTGGTAATGCCAGTAGCTTCTAAGAAGTTTCGCACTATTGCTGCGGTGTGTGGTCGGGCATTATCCTGCATCAATATAAAATCATTGCCCACTAACTCTGCATAAGGTAAGACATACTGCTCTAAAATGTCAATGTAAATTTGGGCATTCATCGACTGCCTCACCGGAAAAACATGAAGGGGTGTCTTTCCATTCATTGAAATTCATCCCCACACCATAACGGACCTACCATTAAAACTTTCGCATTCTGTTATTAAATCTTTCGCATTCTGTTATTAAATTTTGATTGAACCGTTCACCAGTTCTTCTCCACACTCTTTTTCTTCCGTCCACCATGTTAAGGCAAAACCTTGACTCATCCGTAAACAAGACATTCGACCATTCAGGAATATTCCACTGTCCATAATTTTCAACAAAATTTCTTCTAGCAGCACGATGTTCGGGCAATAATTTGGGACCCTTTGCAGGTCTCCTAGCTTTTAAATTAACTTTTTTTAGACGTCTACATACCGTCTGCTTACTTACATCACGAATTTGGCGAAGATCTTGCTGAACATTTACCGCAGTATTTGATCAATTCCGTAAAATCCGGGATCTCAAGAAGCGATCATCTCTTGGAGAAGTTTTTCGGGGGCGACCAGAACTGACCCTCCGAGCGGTGCTTCCTGTTTGTTTTGTTCGTACTTGCGGATTGCTCTACGAGCAGTTGCTTCATGAACTCCCACTGCACGAGCGGCGTAACGTTTACTACGCCCATGTTTTACTAACGCAACTAATCTTGCTACTTGTTCAAGATTTATTTGAGGCATTTTATGTAGTTTTAGTCAATAAAACAAGACACTTAATTAATGACACAACGACAAATGGTCAAATATGGAGGAATACAACAAATTAGTTTCTATGGCACAACGACAAATGGTCAAATATGGAGGCATACAACAAATTAGTTGCTATGGCACCGGCATTTGTTTTTTTTAAGACAATGTGATCCTACCAGAGTACAACCCAATCAATTTTGAGTACTCTGATCCTTCAATAAATTTAATTTGTGGGATAAGCGTAAGGTATCAGCAAAAAAGCTGTAATTCGGAAAATTTTAGAGATAAATCAATGAATAAAAAAAATGCTCGCAAAAGAAGCCTCTTTCGTATAGGGTGTAAGCACTTTGTATACCATTACTCAAGTAACACACAGGGTGAGTAAAAAATTAAGAAGAAATCATGGTTCGAGTTATTCCACCATCAAAAATTTTCACCTCTTTATTTTTTTTTTTAAGACAAATGCATTACCTACCAACAAATAAAAAAAAAATCGGGCTATTTTTTTTTAAGAAGATAGGTCAAATATCAAGTGCGTCACTTTTTTCGGTTTCTATTTCAATTTCTGTGGGAGTTGGTCATATATGTCGACAACACCCTATGTAAGTTGCGAAAGAACGTGTTGTAGAGCAGATAGCTTTTTGCAGTACTATCGGTGAAAATCTGCAAGGACCTTCGATTATTGTTGGAGATTGTTGCCTTGAGGAGAGCAATACGGGTTTATCTACCTAACCAAACTAACCTACGACATCCATATCAGTGTCGTAATGTACTTATGACGTTACATATTGGTATCAGGATCAGGCACTGATATAACCGCTGATGCCATAAGATCAACGTTCAGTCATTTACGGAGCGTGCCCAATTGTGCATTCAGGACCTGGCATATATCTTACTCACTCTTATTTATGTTTCGGAATACCAAGAAACATGACTTGATGTCATGAACGACAGTTTGTGACTTCCTGTGGATTGAGCAGAACCGTTTTCAGACGAGCATTTTGAACGGAATTTTACGTAGCAAAGATATGATATATAGGGGTCTAGATTGTAGTTATGTCAGTGGTAGTAGGCAATCCAATAATACATTATACATAACAATAAGAGCTCTAAATTGGATTTTGAGAAAGAAGTGGAAAAAGCTGTGTTTAATGTACTTCCGTGTTCCGTGTAGTGTAGAGAAAGTACGGAGAAAATGAATTGAGCTGCATAAAATAGTTCTGCAATATGATTTAAGTCTACAATCTACATAGGTCGCTATAAAATTTCTGCAATGGCTTCTATCACGTACAATATGCAGTGATCGTGGAAAATAATGATATAACAGCCGTTTTTTTATATAAATTATCATTACCTGAATCATAGCTGCAGACATTTTGTCCAAAAATGTGTGGCTGAATTCTGCGGAAATATCGCCACATTTTCGTCTAACCGACTGCGTAGAACATTCGACGTATTCCTGAAAAGCGCTGAAAAACAAAGAATTCATGAAAAAACTTGTTGGCAATCTCGTAGCCGTAGTACACAAATTTATCTCGCTCATTATTTTTATACTGCCAGTTTCGGTTTCATTGCCAATAAAACGTCGTTACCTAATTTAACATAATTGAGAATGTCTGCGCTATATCGAGAAGTAAAAAAATATTTTCTTTATTAAATGAAGCGTGTTGAATGGGATGAAAGAATTCTGTATTATTGAAAGTCTTTGATATCACGTTTTTTGTGCCACTGATTCGAGAATTGATATTTCGAGCCAATAAGATCTTTCAGAAGATGAAAAAAATTAGAGAGTTCTATTGTAGGAATCGAAATAGTTGTTTACCAAACGAGTGCGGAAACTAGTACTATTCCGCAAGAGCAAGGTACAATGTTTTTTCTGCGAGTGTTTTTGTCCATATACAGTGTCATTCATAAAGTCGGCATCATATGGGAAATACTTTTATTAATGACTTATTTTGGAATTCGAGTTGGACGTTAAGTTTTGCTTCAAAAAAGATGGAGAATGGCATACTCAATCGGGGTCACGTGACTCTCGCTACATGTCAAAAGTGACATTTTTTTCAAATTAATTGCTGAAATTAGGCTTATTTGTTCGAATATCAAAAGAGTTTACTTGAAAAAGTTGTTTCTATTGCAATTTTACACATGCCTCTCGAATCTGATCTTTCTATTGCATTTTTTAGATTTAGATTTTTTTTTAATTTTTCGAAATTTCTGCAATATTTGAAGAATTGTCAATTCCACGAAACTACTTCATACCAGTGCTTTTTCATGCTACTCACTTTCAATTACTTATCACTGATTATGGACAGATATATGATTTTCTTCAGAAAATGATAATACCCGCTTCCAAATGCTGTTATGTTTGATGCAAAGTTGATATATCGTCAAGCATTTAGAAACGAAATTCATTTAAACTGATCTTTTCAGTACTGAAAAAATAAATTTAAATGAATTTCGTTTCTAAATGCTTGACTCAAACCTAACAGAATTTTGATGTTATGTTTGCATCAAACATAACAGAATTTTGAAGCGGAGATTATATCATTTTCTGAAGAAAATCATATTTTTGTCGATAATTAGTGATAATTAGTAATTGAAAGTTAGTAGCATGATGAAGCTACTGGTATGAAGTAGTTTTATCGAATTTACAATTTTTTACTATTACGGAAATTTCGAAAATTTCTAAAAAATATCGTAAAGTCTAAAAAATGTAAGAGAAAGATAAAATCCGAGTCACATAATAATATGTAAAATTCAAATAGAAACAACTTTTTCAAGTAAACTTTTTCAATATTCGAACAAATAAACCTACTTTCAGCGATCAATTTGAAAAAGTGTAACTTTTGACATGTAGCGAAATTCACGTGACCCCGATTGAGTAGGCCATTTTTCATCTCTTTCGAAGCAAAACTCAACGTCCAACTCGAATTTCGAAATAAGTCATTGATAAAATTTTTTCCCATATGATGCCGACTTTATGAATGACACTGTACATATATTTATGAAAAAAAAACGGTGTTTAATTAACAAGATTTTATAATAATGCAACAAAATGACATATAAGACAGAATTGTTACATAGATCATTTAGTTATTCCTAAATATCCTCTTTTTCAACTATACAAAAATCGTGCGAGAAAGTAACTTTCCAGCACTAGTGCGGTAAAGTAACTTTTCCGCACCATTTTATCGATCTATCGTGCGGATATATAATAATCGTACGGAAATGTGAAAATTGTGTGGAAAAGTTAATACTCCGCACGCTCGTAGTGAAACATTTGTTTCTGATAGCATGCCGAAAAGTCCACTTTTACGCACTCATTTGAGTGTTGAGAGTCACTTTTCCATGCTGGTGCGAAAAAACTTTCAACACTGAAATGAGCAGAAAAGCATCAATATCCGCACTTGTTAGGTAAACTACAGTTTTCTTCCTCTCTCTCCAAGGACATGATAGCCACTATACACGAGCAGAAGACTATACTGAAAGTAAATAATGAAATAAATACTTTGGAATTCCTTGAAAATTCATCTAAATGCAATGAAATACCTTGAAATGCCATGAAATGCCTTGAAATGCTTTGAATCATTTTAAAATAACATGAAATAATATTATATAAATGCCATTCCTGAAATAACATGAAATGCATTGAAATCCTTGAAATAGTTTAAAATTCCTTGAAATGTCATGAAATTCCTTGAAATGCATTAAATACCTTGAAATGCATTGAAATGTCGTGGAATAAATTGAAATGCTATAAGGAAATGGTAAGAAATGTTCTGAAATCCTTGGAATGCTTCGAAATACCTTTAAGCCATAAAATTAAACGAAATGCTTGAAATACCACAAAATGGTCTGAAATGCTATTGTACTGAAATGTCACGAAATGGCTTGGATTGGAATGCATTTCAATGGCTTGAAATGTAATAATTGTCAGAATAAAATGCTTCCGATACGTGGATGAGAGGAATGAATTGCATTTCGAATTCGATGAAATGGATGAAATACTTACGAAATGGATGAAATGCTTACGAAATGCATGAAATGCGGAAATGCTTGAAAACTTTTTCACTATATCGGTAACTCCCTCAGAATAGAGTTGCTCCAATCGTCAGCAAAAGTAGTGTTACAGGACTTAAAAGTGGCAAATAACACGTTAGGAAGGTTTATCAAAAATAATAAAGACAAAACTTCTAAATTCGAAAAATCAGGGGTATTCAAACTCAACTGTGGATCTTGTCCTATATCGGTCAGACTGGTCGTACGTTTAATCAGCGCATTCATGAACATAAGATGAATTTTAAGAAGGAGAAAACAAATTCAACATACGCCAACCATATATTAGAAGAAAACCATAGGTTTGATGGTAAATTCGAAATTCTACACGTAGAAAATGAAGGAATGAAACTCAATCATTTTGAATCATTAGAAATCAATAAACTCAAAAATTCTGACATTTTACCTAACGATCAATTAGACCTCAATAGTTCACAACTGTTGAATTTGTTTTCTTAGTAAGTAATAATATGTATTTGCTATCAACTCTTTCAAGTAATCCGGTACACCGTATTTTAATGTAGATATTGTGCCTAATTTCCGAAAATGAAGGTTTATCGAACCTGTCCACAGGTAATTAATCCTTCAGGTTGGGAAAGTAGAATATATAAAAGTTGAGCAAGCCAACGTTATTTTAGTTCATTGTACCAGTATATATAATAATAATAATAATAATAAATACGTTTATTATATACCCAAAATTAAATATACAAATGAATTCGATACGAACGGTATACATTTTGAGAGGGTAGATAAAAGGCTGTATGGTTCAGATCTCAGAAGTTGAACTTCTGAGCCTGTTCTTCCACCAAAGCCATTTTAAGTTTTTTTCGTTGAATGGTTGAATGGTTACCAAGCTACAATAAATATGTCTAACTCTATAATTGAAGAAAAGTGAGGAGATGTCAAGAGAGAGAGAGAAGAGGAAGAGAAAGAGAGAGAGAGAAAGAGAGAGAGAGAGAGAGAGAGAGAGAGAGAGAGAGAGAGAGAGAGAGAGAGAGAGAGAGAGAAAAAAGTGATGAAAAAGATTGAATGTCATAAAGGCAGTAGAATGTATGAGTGCATCTAAGGTTGATTATTCTCGATTATTCTGCTTATCAAATAAATAGCATTTGAATTTGTTCTTGAAGGCATTCGGATTCATATCAAAACGGAAAAAGGTAAGTTTTATCAGATCATTCACGACGATAGCGATGTTATAAGAAAACGATCTCTTGAAAACTTCTTTGTGGTGGGAGGGTATGGTGAGGATATTTTGGCGTCGAATATTTAAATTGTGAACGTCGGTGCGATATCTCAATTTTTCGTGTAAGTAAGTTGGAATTTTGAGCTTCAATAGTTTGAAGCAAAAGCAAGCAAAATGTAATTTACGGCGGTTAATCATGTTGAGCCAATGACATTCATTTAGTTTGTGAGAAATTCTTTGACTGCGCCTTATACCAAATATTAGACGGAGGCATGAGTTTTGCAGTTTTTGTATACGTTTTATATCCACACTATCAAGACATGCTCCATAAACTACATCGCAGTGATCTAGATGAGACAAAACCAGAGATTCACATAATATTTTTTTCAAATCTCGATCTAGAGATAATCTATGACTATATATCATTTTCAGAGTACAATACGCTATCTGCAATTTTTTCGAGATGTGCTCTTTGAATTTCAGTTTACTGTCAATCATAAGACCCAGACTTTTACCATATTCAAGAAATGGAATTTCTTCATTGCCGATGTGCAATTGTATTGAATTTAATGCAAATTGTCTTGTGGTATCTTTGCTGAAAAGCAGTGCATACGACTTACTTGGATTTATTTTTAATGAATGATTATTAGATGTGATGAGTAAAGAATTCAGGTCATGATTAATTTGTTGAACAGACTCAAACAAATTATCACTTTTGAATGAGCAATATATTTGCGTGTCATCAGCATAAAAATGATATTTGCAATACTTGAAAGCATTTTGAAAATTAGCAGTGTACATAGTATATAATAAAGGCCCCAGAATACTTCCTTGTGGAACCCCTGTAGTCACTTTGATTGGAGAAGATATTTTTTCCCCAATTTTAACGTGCTGAAACCTGTCAGTTAAGAAAGAAATTAATTGCACTCTGCGTGCATATAACCTGACGAAGCTACTGTGTTAGCGAAACATGTCGTGTGTTTAAGAATTTTGTGGAAATCTTATCTTTCGTGAAGTTTTTACAAAAGTAGTGCTGTTGCCGTACCGAGAGCGACTGATGAAACCGGTTGGACCCGATGGGTAAACCATCTTGGAATCATGGTGGGCATGTGGGATTCCAGTGGATTTTCAGTGGGATTCCAGGGATTTTGGTGTGCACATTTTTCAAAGGTGGTTACCCCTCGGTTGGACCGAAACAGTACAATAAATTGAATGAGGATGAGGACCAAAAGATGTGAAAAGGACACAAAATTTATCGAATTTATCGTTTCACTGTATGTTGCGTTCTCTCATTTTGTGTCTAGAAACCGAGACTTTAAAATCACAAGAAATTCAAGTTTGTGCCAGGAAATTTATAACGTGTGATTTATTCGGGATTTAGCAGGGCTGATGTCTAGCAGACTATATCCTATTTCTAGAATATTTACCTAGTTTCTTGCCTAATGAGGTGTTGTGCAGCCGATAAAGAGTGTCAATCAATATTTGGGTTGATATCTAACAAAGACGAAAACTCAAGCGAGAACTTCATTTTCCTTCGACTCCGTATTGAATACACGAAATCGGTCATTAATGACCCATACCAACCGATTAACGATCAGTGTCTCTGTTGATGAACGATTATGGTATAGGCAACCAAACATTCATCTCGTCGATTCACTCATGCTATTGCATTATAATTTTCGGAATCTACATTCAAATCGAAACGATGGATTTCAGTGAAGATTTAACGTTGTCGGGTTAACTTTTTAACGTTGATGAATCGATTCTGATCCCGTTATTCGATACAGAAAGTATATGAATTTTCCATAATAATAATGTTGACAAATGTCAGTGCACAGAAAAAAAGGATTTGTTGCATCAACAAATTATTATGCTTATATTATTTTTGTTGGACTGAGCAATTTTTTGTTGAATCAACCAGATACATGATTATTTCATGAAAGCAGCTTGTTCAAATCAAGAATGTAGTCTAATAGAATCAACAGTATAATATCAATTCCATCAATAAAATATATGATTTTCTCAAAGACAAAGTATGTGGATCCAAGATAATGTAGATGTTGATTCAACTATAAACATCTTGTTGATTCGATGAAATAATGATCATTTTGATGAGAATATTTATCTTTGAAACAACATACAAGTTTTCTTATTCCGATGTAGCAATGAACTCGTTTGCTTGAATAGAACAATGAAATATGTAATATCAATGAAATATTTTGTTCATTCTAGGTTTATTTGTAATACTAATATAATAATAACAATCATTATTTATCCACGACTGTTGTATAAAATATTCATATTACATGTACTTACTCAAGCAAAACGGCAGCCATTTTTCACATCTGTGAATAATAGCAGTGAATAACCATACTTCACTTGTCTAGAGTTCCGAGGGTATGCGATATAACATATAAGGAACTTTAGACCAGTGAATAATGGTTATTATAAATATACTATTTTGCGGCTGTGTGAAAATAATTGGCACAAAATATCAGATATCAGTTGTGGCAAAGAACAAAAAAATTGCTATGAATTGTTTCAAATCACATTTTGAGCAATTATTTTAAGTTGAAAATAGAATAAATTTTAGAATGACATTTTGATTTTATGCAATCCTCAAACGTATACTAAAAACTAAAATTTGATCAGTAGGCTGGATTCCTCTTTCTACCAGTTTTTCAATGAGAGGTCACTATTGACAGGGTTGCATTTAAAAAAACACGTTAAGGGTGGTTTCTGGATTATAATAATATTGTTCATATCGCTCGCAAAGTATAGGTATAATACATTAATACGTTAAAGTATGTCATGCCACATTCCGTTATCTTTGTGGGTACTTTCTCTTGTAATAATTAGATATTAACACTTGGAGAACAACATTGTTGCCTATTTTAGTTTTTTGTATCTTCTGAACTGCACGCTACTGTACTTTCTATAGTATTTCCACAAAAATCAGTATCAACTATATATTTATTTGATTGTTTTTATTCAAGAACTATTATAACGCTGATAAGAGGTGAGTAATTCATAATGAACAGCCCTGTAACTTTCATAAGTGAATTACTTCCAATGCTGATGACGTCAAAAGTTATAATAGATTTATTAAAAATCCCAAATATCGACTGACAGTCCTATAAGGTAGCGTATGGAGACAGTTAGAAGGCGTACACAAAGAACACCTCATTCATAACACTCTGGCCTCACAAAAATGAGAAAAAAGTAGGGTGTTGGAAAATGATGCTTACCAGCAGATATTTTTGATTCCTTCATCAGCTGCTGCCCTCTTCTTCTTCAGAACTGTCACTATGTCCGGTTCGGAGATGTTGATTTCGGGACTGTTCGACTGGATGGTGTGCATTGCTCTCGTGTACCGTTTGAAGCACACTTCGTTCTCATTGGCTGCTCGTGACATGCAAGGCGCATGCTTCAGGTATTCTGGAAAAACGAAGAATAATGTACTTGTGCCCCTTTGCTCTTATTCCACTAGATGGCTCTGAAGGTGATATAGTCCTTCTCCCTCATTTGAGCTCTGCTTCGAAGGATATATGAGTTTCCTTTGTACAAGATTGTCATCATAGTTGTAGAGACAGCTGCATATTTCTACTGTTATCTGATAATGAAATGATATATTTATATGCCCCAAAGGAAAGTGAAAACATTGTAGTTCATCGAACGTCACCTGTGCCGATCACTATACTGAGCAAAATGATAAAAAAATTGCACCTGTGCGGAAATTTGCACTCGATTTCGCGATTCGATAACGAGATAAGAATTATGTTATCCGATAGGTATCAATTGAATTGTAGATCTCAAGAACTACTTGTGCCACTCCTCAGTCTGAGCCAAATCCACGACACAACGATTTATTTGCTGCTATTATTCCGGACATACTTCCGTCATGTGATAACGAGTTGAAACAAAAAGCGAAAGGAAGGGTAAAATGCCCCTTTTGCGAATATTCAAACGTGCCACAATTCAAACTGATAAAATTTAGTGGCAGAGCGTCAATATTTCCGTGAATATTTCGCCGTCGTCTAAAGTTTATATCCGATGGACCAGTGTGAAACTCAACATGTTGAGTTTTACACTGGTCCATCGGATATTATCATTAGTTGAAGGGCGAACTATTCTCGGAGGTATTGACACTCTGCGACATGGATGAATTAATCTAAATCAGTCTAGAATATGAAATTAAAAGAATAGCTGTATTATTGACACCAACAAAAATTGAAGGACTTTCAAGTGGTAGGTACTTTTTTCTTTTCCATCATGAATTTCTGGAATTTAGTGCAAACATTCAGGAAACTTGAGTACTAACAGAGAATTCTTATTAATGACTATCCATATCATCGTAATTTAATGCAATGTGTTGTTGTTTTCAACCTATCTCGTCTACTCCCCAACACTTGATATCTCCAAGGCATTCGATCGAGTCTGGCACCACGGACTCCTCGCTAAGCTTCCATCTTATGACTTGGCTCCCCATCTATGCTCTCTGCTAGCTAGTTTTCTCTCTAACAGGTCTCTCCATGTAGTCGACGGAGTTTCATTTGACTCTCTTATCATAAATGTTGGTGTTCCGCAAGGATCAATTATAGCACCCACACTATTTCTACTCCATATGAACGATTTGCTGGAAGCACCTTCATGTTCAGTACACAGCTTCGCTTCCATACCGCCTTCTCTTCCAGGGCTCCAATACCAGCCAGGCAAATCAGAAACGAACGAGGGAGAAATGATGACAACATAAATATGGACTTGGCAACAATTCTAGAATGGGGATCCAATAACTTGGTAGATTTCAATGCAAACAAAACACAAGCATGCCTTTTCTGTAGGAAATCCGATCTCACTGTGCCCAACATAAGCCTATCATCAGTAACCATAGCATTGAAGACATCCATTTCGATGCTTGGTATTACTATCAGCAATAACTTTTCTGGGGAAAATCACGTGAGATGCATTGCTAAAAGTGCATCCTAAAAACTTGGTTTTCTGTTTCGGGCCAGGATCTATTTCACTTACAGTCAGCTGCTTATGATCTATAAGGCACAACTCCGACCTGTCCTGGAATACTGTTCCCATATTTGGAGTGCAGCACCCAAACATACCCTGAAACTGTCTCTTTCCAAAGACTCGTTCATCCAACGAACAGCGAGACTCTGGAACACATTGCCAAGGGAGGTGTTCCTCGAGGCATATAACCTCTAGAAATTTAAGAAGAACACCAATTTCTACCTTATTTCGCTTGGTTCTCACGATGTTCTCTGAACAATACAGGATATCCCTTTTCGTGGGAACCAGAACATGAAAAAAAGTTTATAGAATTCTTTTACGATTTAGTGAGCCGATATTCTAGGTGATCTAATCATTTTTGCTCCTCTGATATCATGGTGATAAACGTCTGAATGCGTTGTTAATGATGAAAATATGGTGTTAAAAGGAACATACCATAACTGATGGAAATATTTCACGCGCAAATCATGTAACATCAGTGCGACTTCAAATATGCGTTGAGGGTCAACATTGTGACGTTGTCAAATGCGTACAAAACATTTGACATTCATATTCACAAAATGTTAGTTTTAAAACATATAGTACAAGCGACAAAAATCATGTTTACGGTTGTAAATTACCAGATTAGATCATGTGTAGGTAAATGGAAACGGTCTACTAGGTATAGTTAGATACGCAAAAACTGATGTTTTATCATTGCTGATAAGAGTCTGATGTGCAAATATTGTCGAACATAATTGTATAGATTGGATAATTCATAGTTTTAATATTATGTGGGATCTTTGAATATATAGGATGTAGAAAATATAAATTGAAAACCCATGTGTATTCAATAACTTCTACACCTTTTCCAGATGTATTTCAGAAAGTGTCAATTCAATTTCTGAAAGTGTCAATTGTACTTGTATTTCAGGAAGCCAGAATAATCACTCGTATTTCAGAAAAAGTCAATTGTATTTTAGAATTGATTGATTGATTGATTAATAGCAGAATGATCAGTCAGGGTTCGAAGCCCAAAACACTGCAGCTTTTGGGCCTATTGTTTTCCTGATCATGCTGTTGACTTAGGTGAACAGGTTCGCTACCTTGATAAGGTTTAGCAGCCTCTTCACCAAATCATTCTTTGGAAATGCCTCTTGAGAGTGTACTGCTCCCAGAAGGTTGTATCTCCAACGCGCTAGTGCTTCGCACACCCGGTATATGTCCCGATTAAATATCAGTAGACAGTTAATCAAAAGTTGAGATAGGGACATGTAAGCCGTTTTGACCAATTATGAATAGTTTCGACACAAAAAATTCTTGAACTTGGAAAATCTCGATTTCTCACACCCTATATCTCAGTAATTATAACTCCTAGACCCCAAGTTTGATGGATTGTTGAAATCAGCTCACCAGGGAGAATCTCAAAATGAAATAATGTATAGGGTGTTCGATTGAAAAAAGTTCAACTTCAGTGTTTTGTGATTTTTGGGGACATCCTGTATGTTTCAAAATAATTTCAAATGGTAGCCTATGTTGACATGCAACTTCCTAGAGAGGAAGAATTCCAAGAAGATAAGTGGTTAGCCTTCTAGAGACCGAGGCGTTACTGGTGGCCCACCATGTATATGAACGTCAGTACAATGGAAAATTTTCTATGAATACATTGTGGTCTAAGTAAAACATTTACATTCTTTAAAAGTAACTGATATTTTTATCAAAAACATGTTGATATTCCTCGGAGAAAGTTGATAATCTTGAATGATGTGTTCACAGAACAATATCGCCTATAACTTGCCTTATAGTTTTTGTATCGATTTTCAAGATTCCACGAATCCCCCTCGATTGTTTAACATTTTTCTCATACACAATACACAATTCGGTAATAATACTGGATACCCTATTATAAACCATTACATCCGTTTCCACATAATTTCTCATTGATATTGACCAAAATTCATGAACGTGTCGTCATACTTGACACGTTCATACAGGGTGATTTACATAGGCCACAAGCCACACATTAGATGTGCTTTAACTTACAGTTGGATTGTTATAATCGATCATTTTGAATCTACCTGAAATACTTTTAGTCCTTCAGCTCTACAACGTGTGTCAAGAGTTACCACCAACTTTATTATTTCAAATTCCAATTTGGTTTTCGCACGTTTCGAATTGCCTTTTAATTCTGAGCTGAGGCAGCCTCATTTGTGTCAACTTATAATCACAGTTTTCAGAGCATGTCGCATTGCCAAAAACTAAACTTTTCGAAATGGTGCCTTATACTATTTTTTTGACACCATATGATTGAATTGATTTTGAGGATGGGTAACTTGTGGAAACATTAATTCCCGACTCATTATTTGAAAATATTGTGATAGTGATAATTCAAAATAATACGAAAAACTGAATGCTGTCGATACAGTAATGATCTTTTGAAATATGAATTTTCTCAATTTAGTCGATCTCATATCTCTCGGCATTGGCTTCACCACTTCATATGTATACAGTCTAAATAACACCGAAAAAAGTTAAGGAGTGATTCTGTGATGAAAATCAAGGTGGGCATTCTGTAATAATAGTTATTTGTTTCACTAGGCAGGAAAGTACAGGATTTAATGCCGCGGCTGGCGTTTCATATCCTAAGCGTAGCAGAGGCTAGGAAACCAGCCAAAGCATTACATCTTCTTTTCTGCCATGTGAAACATATAATTTGTTTTCCAAATTCTTCTCAATTTCACGCAAAGTCCAAATAATCCATCATTTTTTGTTCACCCAAAGTCATTGGCAATTTTGATTACCAATTTGATTCAAATTACTTGAAACGTTGAATAGCAACAAACTTTTTCTGCCTAAGCAGTAAAAGTACACCTTTTCTGCCTGTTAAGTGTCATTGAAAATCCACTTTTAATGTCATTTGGAGAAAAAATGTTTTCAAAACCCTCGGAAAAACCTCTCCTCGGTAAAGTAACACCCCTCTGAAAATTACAAAAAAGGTTTTCATTGGTTAATATTATTTGTCAATAAAACTACATATTTTGGAATGTTTTCAACCCTGAAGTATAAGAAGGGGTTGAGATAGGCAACCCCTGACATATTTTGTCTTATATACTCTTTCTTTTCCGAGGAAATTTTTTTCAAATAATTTAATACCAAACAGCCACCATAATTTTTATTACAGAGTCAATGCTCAATTTTTTTCGGTGTTACTTAGACACACCTTGTAAACGATCGAACACCAGCATACATTACCCTGTATAAGTGTAACTTTGATAGTTAATATCTTCCGTTGGCAAAAAGCTATCATGTTGCAGTTTTTGTTGGTCTGTTGAGATTTAGTTCCTCTATTACATCGTGTAATGATATGTATACCATTAGATTCATTCTATCTCAAACTTGTATTATTATTCGTTGCTGAGATATGGCCGACAGCCGATCTTAGTTGTTCACCCGGTATATAGCATTCTGCCAACCTTTTTCTCCATTAGGAAAATAATAATGGCATGAGAATTAATTGCTGGTTCAATTGATGCAATGTCACAGTTCAAATATTGACCTCTCACCTACCTTTCGGTTGTGATATGTTTATTGGCTAAATTTACAGATTGCTTCGAAGCTCGGTTGATTGAACTTGCAATCAAAACCTTCCCATGAAGTTCCTACCCCTGTTTCGAGTTGCAATGGAAGTCTATGAAAATTCATGGGAATTTATGAAAATTTGTAGAAAATGAAAATCCATAAAATTTATGAAAACTCCTAGTTTATGAAAATTACTAGAAAGGAACCCGCACCATTCAGATTGAAATATTGTCTACGGTGACATGTTGTGAAAATCTATAGGATTAGATAGATTGGATCATGCTGAACAAGAAATGTTCTTTGGTCCAAGACCCGATATGCCCGTTGAAAAAAGTTATGGGCTCTCAAAGTCAAACGAGATAACCTCTACCAGAACAATAGTTTTTTTACGGAGGTAACAGATAACAGCGACACTTTTTATTTCTTCGTCTTGTAGCAGCCATCTGATTTCCTCTCAAGCAAGGTGGATAGAATATGGTGTAATCAAGACAGTGTTTTGTTTCTCCCAAAACGCTTGACCGCAGATCCTCAATAATGGCATATTAGTTCTCAGTTGTCCGCAAGATGGCTACACTTTTTACAGATTTTCGTACCGATATATTATGATTGTATGTGTGAGTGTAGAAATTGCTAACGATAATAAATCTGATTTCTGCTGAATGTTTGAGAGTGCAAAAAATTGTTAACTATGACGAATCTGTTTCTGAGTGTTACCCAAACATTCAACAGGAATCTGATTAGCTATGGTTAACAATTTTCACACTCAGACTTACTTTCATAACCTGTTACTTACAAAGCCACTCTAAAATTCGTTTTGTTCTGGTCCCATAGCTTCAAGAGCTCATAACTTTTTTCACGGGCCTAACGGGCCTTGGACCAAAGGACATTTCTTGTTCAGTATGATTTAGTCTAACTAATCCTATATTTCCACAATATTTGGTTTATGAAAATTCCTAGAAATGAAAACTTCTGAAAATTCATGAAAATTTGCACTGTTCCCCTTACCATCTTGATAAGTCCCGTTTCTGCAAAGTTCATGGACCATCAGCCCTGTGCCGTGGAAAAGGGTCCTAAAATGGGATCTGTCTTCTTTGCTCATACAGTGTCTCGTGAAACCGTGGATACACTTGATTGCCTCCTTCAGATCCCTGGAAATATCAGAATTATAATGATAATAGGCGAATGCATGGACTTTTTTTTTGTTTCTTCAGGAATATTAGTTATTCAATAATTCAGAAATTATCAATTGAGTATTGGTACTATTCCTAATTAGTGAGGGTTGCTGGGCTGTGTGCACGTGAATATATACCAAAGAAGGTTAGATTTTCATTTCGTTTTTCGTTTCAAAATATTCGTAGCAGAGCGCTTTCGACGTCATCATCAGTGCGTACTCGTCAGGTTTATAGGGAAATTCGCCCATAAAAATATCTTTTGTCCAGTTTGAAACTGACGATATTTAAGTAAAATACGTTACAAACAAATTAAAATGTGTTTCCCAAAAGGGGGTAAAATATTGATTACATCTTGTTAAGCAGCCATTGTCGCTGCGACATGTCGTGTTGAAGTGAACTTGATGAGTGACGGACCTTGATTTCCTATTCCTAATCAGCAATAATATAATAATAATAATAATAATTCTTTATTGCTCCTTAAGAAATTACATTCTTATAGCAAGAAGTCTAATCTAGCACAAACTATACATAGTATAAAGAGCACCAACTAAAAATAAGGCGCTCATGACTCTTCAGAAAAAAAATGTGGTACATAGTACATACAAATACTTATAATGAAAACAGGTTAAGATCAATCTTTTCAATCATTCATTCATCACAAACGAATGCAGTTTAAAAAAGTTCAGGACGTATCCTATCGAACAGAGACATCTTAACAAAAACTAGGTAAACCCATGTACAATATGATATTTTATATTTTCATTTTATTTTTACATACTTACTTATACTTGGACTATTGTCCTATTTTACTTTGACTATTGTCATATTTTTACTTTGGTTAATGTCCTTTTTTAATTTGACCATTCTCCTATTTTTACTTTGACGTGTTTCATAATATTGTAATATTTCTCAACTAAATAAATTCAATTCAATTCAATAATAATTCAATAGATGTTCCCTTAAGATTTGTGGCTTATTGTTTATGATAAATTTGTGTAAATAATAATTATATTAATTCACACTAGAGCACAGCATTTGAATCGGTGAACGATACCACAACGGCACACGAATTGTGTACGTGGTCTTGTCAGTTCTCAGCATTCAGCACAATGTTGCTAGGTCTTCAACATTTATATGATATTCTGTTATGGAGTATAAGAAATATTTTGTTGCTGGTTCCTATTATGTTTTATTCAACGAACTTTTTGATAACATGATTATAATTGGTAACTTGGCAACCTTGCTTCATGAGTGGGAATGAAAGATTATCTGACCAATAACGAAACAGCATAGAAAGTGACGTAACCATTTATTCGACGTATCGGCGGCCATAAGGGTGAGTTTGGATTGAGCTCTGAATTCCAACAATTTCGAACAACGCATAGATTTATTATTTACATAAAAAAAGCGTGAGAAACGTAGCAAAAACCAATTTAGTAAATGAATGCTAATAATTCATTATTAGTCAACTCGCCCATTATAATGTTCGAAAAATCAGAATTTAAAAATTGTAAATGAACCATGAATGTGACATTGAAAAATGGTACCTTGTCATTATAGTAATGATGACTAGATGCTTGTGAACGAGCAAACACTTGTTTCAACAATAATTCTCAAGTTGAACTAATGAACTCAAGTGTTACCTATAGAATCCTGTGGAGAAGTCAATGACGATGACGAATTGAATACTACACTTTTTCAACGATTTGAAATTGAACCTGAATGTACATTGTACAGTGCGTCCATAAAGCAACGCATAAATTCATTATTGGCTGAATATACGATAAAATTAGAAATTCCCGAGACAGGTCGATTTTTTATTTCAATATCATAATTTTCTGATTTTTTTCACAGTGCAAATTTCACACAACATTGCAATTTGGGTCATAGCTGCATAAGACCATTGAATATTCTGCGGATCAACCGGCGTTAAAAGTAATAAAAATCATTTTTTGAATTGACTCGGCCGTTACTTGATGAAAATCCATGGAAAATGTAAAAACTTCACAAACGATAAGATTTCCACAAAATTCTCATACACACAACATGTTTCGCTAACGCAGTAGCTTCGTCAGGTGATATACTGGTACAATGAACTAAACCAACGTTGGCTTGCTTAACTTTTATATATCCTACTTTCCCAACTTGAAGAATTAATTACCTGTGGACAGGATCGATAAACCTCCATTTTTGAAAATTATGCACAATATCTACATTAAATTACGGTATACCGGATTAACTTGAAAGGGATGATGGCAAATAAATATTATTATCTACTAAGAAAACAAATTCAACAGTGGTGAACTTTTGAGGTCTAATTGATCGTTAAGTAAAATGTAAAAATTTTTGAGTTTGTTGATTTCTAATGATTCAAAATGATTGAGTTTCATTCCTTTATTTTCTACATGTAGAATTTCGATACTATCATCAAAACTATGGTTTTCTCCTTATATATGGTTGACCTATGTTGAATTTGTTTTCTTTTTTAAAAAATTCATCTTATGTTCATGAATGCGTTGATTAAACGTACGACCTGTCTGACCGATATATACCTTAGGACAAGATCCACAGTTTGTATACCCCTGATTTTTCGAATTTAGAAGTTTTGTCTTTATTATTTTTGATAAACCTTCCCAACGTGTTATTTGATCTATACGCTACTCTCAAGTCCTGTTTATGTAGAAATGAAGCTAATTTTTCAGTTGATGATCCGAAATAGGTTAAGTTTTATAATTTTGATTATCATTCTTGATGGTAGGATAAACTTCTTGAATAGCTTTATTATGAAGTTTTTTAGAAAGAATACTGTCTATCAGATTAACGTTGTATTCGCTATTGAAGTTTTTACATTTAATAAAAACCAATTGTCAATTTGAACTTATCCTTCAGATTTCAAAAAATTTTACGCATTTTCGTTGAACCACCTTGTATATATTAAGCAGATTTTGCTGTGTCGACGTGACCAAATGCAAATTTCGCCGTGTTCAGTGTTGTGCAAACCTCTAGACTTGTATAATTGACGCAAAAAAAACTAATAGGCCAACTTGAACTCCTGGCAGGAAATTGTGATTGCCGAAATGAAATTTCCAGAGATAATAGCCAGTCATGATAATGATAATAATATCGTTGGTTCAGCAGTTATATCAGCAGTATTTTAAGTAGTGTACATATTTGTAATATAAAAATATGCACAGGAGGTGATTGTATCCCACTGTAGATAAGGCACGTTCAAGCTTACTAGATGTGAAACGATTCAAATAATCCAGAGCCATATTACTGGATTACATAACTAGTGTAGAAAGGGGTATATCACGAGCGATTATAGAAGTTTAGTAGGAGCCGTGAATATCTCCTTCAAACTGATATATATAGAACTCATACAGGGTGGCATTGAAATAAGTACAAATATATCAAACACTGAGAAAGCTCTACGTGTACTATCGAATAGAAAAAAAATTAGGGATCAAAATAAAATTTTAGGTTAGACCCCTTTTTCCATCCAAAGTTCTCCACTGTACCAAATCTGACGTCACCTCTGTTCAAATTTCCATGCGTAAGGTAAAACCACGCGGAGTTCAATCATTTTAATTGATTTAAAGTGACATACTTGATTTTTTCTCGTATTTCGTTCAATTTTTGGGATGAAATTTCTCGTTAATGAGAAGAATTTTAAAAAATCTGATATCATGGGAATATTCCTTAAACTGTATCATATTGATGTGCTGAATATGTGCACTTATTTCAAAAACACCTTGTATATGAATCATCATAATTAGGACATATATTATATTATTCTGTACTGTTTAGGACTGATCGGGATCAGTGATATGGAAAAGTAGTTGTTTTCTGTTGAATATCCAGAATGATATTATGTGCATACACTATATTTATACAGAGTGGGCCTTTGAAAACGAAACAGAGGCTCTGTAGGTCGCCAAAACCGGATTATGAAAAAAATCTGAAACACGCCAAACAACATTTTCGAGGGGACATCGTTCTAAAATATTTTCAGCTCTGCGGCGTTGCCGCTTCTAATGAAAAGAAGCAAAAACTTTGTTATTTCAAATGGAACACCTTGTATTTTATTGCATTTTTAGATTCTCCCCGAAGAGCTGATTTCATCAATGCATCACACTTGGGGTCTAGCTGTAATGGTTTCAGGGATATAAAGTGTTCAAAATCGAGATTTTTCAACTTAAACATTCTTTTGTGTCTAAACCATCATTTATTATTGGTCAAAACGGCTTTCATGTCCCTATCTCAACTTTTGATTTACTATCTACCAACATTTAATTGGAACAGATACAGGGTGATCAGAATTCTGAATCTTGAACCACCCTGTATTTGTTTCAAATAAATGTCAGTAGATAGTAAATCACAAGTCGAGATAGGGACATAAGCGCCGTTTTGACCAATAATGAATAGTTTCGACACAAAAAAATGCTAAAGTTTGAAAAATCTCGATTTTGAACACTTTATATCCCTGAAACCATTACAGCTAGACCCCAAGTGTGATGCATTGATGAAATCAGCTCTTCGGGGAGAATCTAAAAATGCAATAAGATACAAGGTGTTCCATTTGAAATAACAAAGTTGTTGCTTGTTTTCATTAGAAGCGGCAACGCCGCAGGGCTGAAAATATTTCAGAACGATGTCCCCCTCGAAAATGTAGTTGACGTGTTTCAGATTGTTTTCATAATCCGGTTTTGGCAACCTACAGAGCCTCTGTTTCGTTTTCAAAGGCCCACTCTGTATGAAGGAGAATCCAAATTCTCTAATTCAGATTTTGTTTTCAAATTCTTATGTGTTCAATAGATACAGGGTTGCGCAAAAGTATGGAACCAGGTGAATTTCTCGGTAACCGTTTGTTAGATTTTTTTGAATATATGTACAGGGTGATTTCAAAACGTGGTGGATTTGAAAATGTTATCGTCGATGTTGCCACTTTTTTAGTTATTCCGGAATTATCATTAACT